ATTTTTTGCTAGAGCACTATCCTTTACCTAAAATTTAAGAAATCCCCCTGGATGAATGACATTGGCCTGCTTTCTCCTTGGAGCAGTTTTGGCCTGAAGAACTCTGCCTTAACAGGACTGGACCCTTGGCAGGCAGGCAGTCCCCTTGGAACACACACAGGAAATGATTTAGAAACCACTAGGTGGGATGCAAACGGGATAATGGCTCCAGCCTATTAGTGCTCTGTAATTTGGTGCTAATTTCCTTTATTACAGTGTTCTCGCACTGCAGGGGATGGTCCTCTCTTTCTGCCTGGGTGGGGGTGGGGGCTGAGGGCTGGATCTTATTGCAGAATGTAGAGATATCGGAGCCCCTGATGAGCAGAGAGGTGGCATCAGAGTGCTTTGCAGGCTGGTTTCCATGTGCCTCCCAAGGCACAAAGGAGTTTCATTGGTACATGCAGATCATGATGAAGTCAAGGAATGCAACTGTGGTCTTCTTGTGATGCTATAGGACATGCCCACAATTGTTGGGCACAGGACCCCCTTCCTTGCTCTACTAAACCAGACTGATGGCCTGACTGGCACTCAGCTGCCTTCCTGGGACTGCCTCCTTAAGCTTGCTGGAACTTTCTGGCAAGTTTTAAATAGTTGCAACTATTCCCCATCCTTTGCTTGAAATATTGAATAAGCTGGGGTGTGTGGTTTCTAACCATGGTACTTCTGGTGGATTTCTGTTTATTGGTTTGAAAGCCTGGGAGTCTTAGCCATAAGAGGTGAAAGGTTCAGTCCACATGTGTGCCTTTCAGATTTGAACCCACCTCCAATTGAAGTTAATCATAAGTAACTTACAATATCAAGTATTGAAAGAAAAGCCCTGAAGCTTATAGGTGCAAAAAACCAAAATGCTGTGGTGATGAAGGCATATATGCTAATGGGAGAAATGGCTTAAAGGTAAAAATATATTTGAGTTCACCTTCACTCCTGGTAATGGCATTATCAGTTTTCATGAAAGTAATTTGCCTTTTTCCAAAATGCTTAGACTTTTCACTCTAGCTCAGTGTTTCTCAAACTTGGCCTTTTTTTAAATGTGTGGACTTCAACTCCCAGAATCCTCCAGTCAGCATGATGGGGGAGAATTATAGGAGTTACAGGTCTACACATCTTATAGTGGCTAAAATTCAGAAACACTGGTCTAACCAACAAAATTCCCAGGTGGTCCTCCATCCTAATAGTAACTAAGAACTCCTCAGTTTAGTTCCTAATGTCAGCCAAAAAGAGGTCAAGCAAAGAAATGCTAATGGTCTCTTGTTTCAAAGGGTGCATGGGTGGAAGAGAAGAGCTATATTTCTATACCAGTATTGGTGCAGTACCCTCTGTCACATTTCAGTCAGCTGAGAACCAGCTTGCCTGTGTGATATGCATACTTCTAAGTAGAGGACACTATTCACTGTAGACTTGCTGCTGCTGAACTTGGTGTAGTAGAGGAAGGGAGTGTTATGGTTTTGTTTTGAGATGAGAAGGTGTTCAAATGTGCTATTCCTTTCCCTAATCTGAAAAGATGTGCACTGCATGCTGCTTCTACATTTGTACATGTAAACTGTAGTTTTTCTGGCTATCTTCTTACTCTAGCCTTCCGCATTGGGTGGGCTCCCACTTGTCTGCCATAGAAAGCTAAGCAGGGTCCTGCCAAGTTAGTACTAACTATGGCAGACAAGTTCTATTAAATGCTACTCCAGGTGTCTAGCCTGGGAAAGTAAAGTCCCTTCGGTGGAGTCTGGTCTCAGAGGCAAAGAATATGGATTTTGTTAAACAGGGTGATCAAAATCAAGTTAGTTAATTCTACTGCATTGAAAGTTCCATCCTAGGAGCACATGACTTTTTTCTCAAAATATGCTTCTAACAGTATAACAGCAAACCCTCATTCACAAAGAACCTATTATAGATAAGCAGAACAAGTTTGCAGAACTTGTAACGACAGAATATAGCACAAAAGTATTATGATCTGCTTGATCAGCTTTATTTTCTGGTCATCCGAGTTTGCAAGAACATATTATCAAACAACTAGTTGATAAATTAGTATCTGGCTGATGGGTTGAGTTCAGCTGGGTGGTTCCTACTTGTTCTAACCTGATACCTAAAGTTCAGGAAGTTCTACCAATATTCTAATTACATCTTTTCTATGATTCTGTAGTAGAATCCAGAGTTCCTTAAACCTCTTCTCCCATACACTGATGTTAACAATTCTTCTCTTGTGAACAGAGCAGAAACACTGCCATAAGTACAGACCTATGGCAAGTATCTTGCATAAGTAGTAATTTACAATACTTATTATGTTTATGTAGTCCAGCAGCCATGCTAGGTTGAGAGATGGTTGACTTCTCAAGGAAAATTGCACGGCGCTCCCTGTTGGTCCAAGACTGCAGATGTGTCCTCCCACAAGGTCATATCAGGGCTGCTGCTGGGAATTTAGACCCAGTCCTTTCCCTAGCTTTTATGAAGATGGGAGGAAGCTGTTTCTCTCGATTGAAACATACGACAGCACACCGTTTTAGTCACCAGGCAGGCACTGTAAATGGGCAGGGGAAGTAAGGTCCTGCTCCCTCTAGCTTTAAGAAACTCGCTTGGCCCTGGCACAGCTGCACTCAGACCAGAGTGCAGTTCTTTTCCTAATTTAACAGATTTTTTCCTGGGAAGACACAAGTTGGCAGAACCAAGCTGAAAACATCCTGCCTCCACTAGATTGGCCTACAAGAGGAAGCAGGCATGTCCTCCATGAATTAGGAGCAGCCCAGAGTCGAAGTACCTATTTTAGTCTTTTCCAGGTATAACTGGCCCACCAACACTAATACTCTGAATCTGGTGATCTCCCTGCCTCCCCCCCCCCCCAAACCTAAGAAAACCTCCTATTAGAAAATAATTTCTAGATCAGGGAATGCATTTGAATACACTGCACAGGAAACAAGCAGGTGGGTCACAGCTTGGTTCTGCCAGATCTCAAAGCAATCCCCACAACCTGGTCTCCTTTGGATGTGCTAGAGACTGTAGCATCCATCATTTCCAAACTCATTGTGTAGCCATTAGAATTATATCTCATGTTTTCATTCCAGGCCTCAAGGTAGCCTAACTAGTGCTTCCTCTCTTTATAACTCTGTCAGATAGATTGGGCTGAGAGGCAGCGCCCTAAATCACCTGGGGAGTTTCTGTGGCTGAGAGTAGATTGGAATCTGCTTCCTGGTTCCAGGCCAACACCTTAACCATTACATTATGCTGGCTTGTTTTAATGCCTTAGCAAAGCTATGTATCTCTTAAGAAAAAAGAGGAAAACGGTACTGAAGAGACTTTTAATAAGACTGGGGTAGATGTGCCTTGAAAAAAAAAACACAATATCCCTCAGTGATGTTGGAAAAATAATTCTAGGAGAACAGTAAGAATTTGAAGCTTCCCGGATGTTCCCAGAAGAGTATCCTTAAAGTGAAAATTCAAAACATAGGGAAAAGTCAGGATCTGAAAAAGGGCAAGTCTTGTAGAATCAGAACACAAAACAATCTTCCAAATTTGTCTCTGCTGTAGCCCTAGCCAAGAGAGTTGCCACTTCATCTCACGAACCAAAGGTAATACAGATAGTCCTCAACTTATGACCACAATTGAGCCCAAAATTTCAGTTGCTAAGCGAGACATTGGTTAAGTGAATTTTGCCCCATTTTACGACCTTTCTTACCACAGTTGTTAAGTGAATCACTGTGGTAGTTAAGTAAACCATGACATCATTAAGTGAATCTGGCTTCTCCATTGACACTGCTTGTCAGAATGTTGCAAAAGGTGGTCACATCACCCCAGGACGCTGCAATTGTCTAAATATGAGTCAGTTGCCAAGGTTCTGAATTTTGATCACATGACCATGGGGATGCTGCAACGGTCATAAGTGTGAAAAATGGTCATAAGTCACTTTTTTCAGTGCCGTTGTAACTTCAAATGGTCACTAAATGAACTGTTGTAAGTTGAGGACTACCTGTACTTTTCTAGATGAGACTGGAAGGGGGGGGATATAAGACCCAGTTATTCAGACAGCGGATTTTATTTCTGTTAAACTGGCTTGCCTCTGGACCCCTACAAGCCAATGTTTGCACTTTTTACCTGTGTAGTTGCAGAAGCAAGCCTTCATGGAATGCTTGTGGCCAGACTCTGTGATAAGGAGATGGAGGAGAAGAATGTTGTCTTTAGCTTATTTAAAGCCATTTAAAATCCCATTCTTTGAGTTTTGTTCTAAATATAAGGTGATGACACATTCTTGTTGAAATAATAACTTCATTTCATCCTGCAAGTCTGTAAATGATAACCCTAAACGATCTGAAGTCTTGAAATCTCTCAACACATGTTGTTACATGTAGTTGGGAACATTGCCTAAACTCTCTTCACCTCTCACTGTGCCACATGGCTACCTGGAAGGCTCTCGTTTACACTCCATCTACACCTTTTAGTCTAGTTAGTATGCTCTGTGAACCTACAGCCATCATGGTTAGCCTTTGGTGCAAGATATTATGCACACATGGATAGATGATTAAATTGATCGTGTGAACACAGTCAATACAACCAATCTCTTATGTAACTGCTTGACTGGGTTGCATAGCCTGTACACAAAGGAGTTGTGACTGCTTGTTTGTGCTTTCAAGTCAGTCTTGACTCCTGGTGACACCTGGGCAAGTCTCTGTAGTTTTCTTGGCAATATTTCAGAAGTGGTTTACCATCAACTGCTTTCTAGGGCTAAGAAAGAGTGATTGGCCCAAGGTGACCCAGTTAGCTTTCTGCCCAAGGTGGAATTAGAACTCACAGTCTCCCAGTTTCTAACCTGGTACCTTAACCACTACACCAAACTGATGCTCTTGTGCCAGTAGCACAAGTTGTCTCCAAGGGACAGGGATCAAATTCCAAAGCCAACTAGACAGAAAATTGAACTAGATGGAGCTCAATCCTTCTACATGAGGTCTTCTGACTGCTGTGTGTGCTTGTGCTTCTGACAGGTGGTGATGGAGAACATGAAGCGAAAATGCAAGTGTCATGGAACTTCAGGAAGTTGCCAGCTGAAGACATGTTGGCAAGTGACTCCTGATTTCCGGCTGGTGGGTTCAGTGCTCAAGGAACGCTTCCATGTGGCAACACAGATCCGGCCCCACAACAGGAACACTGGACAGATGGACGTGGGCCAAGCCCGCCACCGGCGTCGTGGTGGCATCAGTGACCTGATCTACTTTGAGAAATCACCTGACTTCTGTGAGAGGGAACCAAAGTTGGACTCTATGGGCACACAGGGGCGTTTGTGCAACAAGACCAGCCCAGGCATGGACAACTGTGAAAGCTTGTGCTGTGGACGAGGACATAATATTCTGCGGCAAACCCGCAGTGAGCGATGCAACTGCAAATTCCACTGGTGCTGTTTTGTAGCTTGTGAGGAGTGTCGACTCACAGAGTGGGTCAGTGTCTGCAAATGATATCTATGTCTCTGTAAGCCTGCAGAAAGTTCCATTGTTTGCCTTTGCAGCACTAAGGATGGAGCCCTGCATTAACATAAATCAGGGTTTGAGGGACTTGGTACATGCTAACGTTTCACATCTCCCGTCACTTCCTTTCTGGCCGGTTACATGAGCTCTTGATTCCAGGAGATCCTATTGTACAGATTTGAGCCTTGGCTTGACGTTTCCAAAACACCAGGAGCTGTATATTAGTAATCTTGCTGGAGACCCAGAGGTTGTCTCTGGCTGTTTCTAAGCATTGACACCTTCAGCCACGCTTGTCAAGTCTATGAGCTATAGTTCCTCATAAAATAGCTGTCATTCCCACCATATCGCCATTCAAATTAGTGCCCTTTAAATCCAACATTCAGGGGGTAGGGAATACAATCAAATACCTGTTAACCTAGGCCAAATTTGTTCCATTCTGGTTAAAGTGCCATGAGCACCTTTGTTGTTCAGGGGGAGAACAATGAAATAAAATGCAACGTTGGTTTTAAAGAAATGTTTCAAAAATGAGATTGACGAGTTGGGGGTACAGAGCTATCTCTGGAACAAGAGCCACAGGCACTGAGTGCAAATACTGTGGTTGGTAACTTATTTTATTATTGTGCGAATAAACATGAATCCAGGACACTAATGTGCATGTGTATGTCTGAAGTAGAATTATGTGGCGATGTGTGAGGGGTTTCCTTCAGATGTTATGTCATCATTTCTCCTTTGTACACTTTTGGGATGTTGTCATTGCAGAATCGACTGGACAGAAAGATTCTGTCTTGGAAGAAAGCTATGACTGTAATATTTCGTTTTTAAGCTCCTGGGTTAAACTCCATTGGAAGAACCACAAATGTTTTACGCGAATTCAAATGAGCCTTTCCCAGCTGGGATGTTACATTTATGATTTCCACATGCAGAGACTTGTGAGCCGATTGGCGTGCGGAGTTAGTCACAATGTTTGTAAATTGTTTTTCAGGGGAGTAGACATGTTAATCTGCTGCAGGAAAAAAAAGTACTGTAAGACTTTAAAATGCCGTTAATGTTGTGGATAACAGGCCACAATGCCGGATTCATGAAGTGTTATCCTAACTTACAGGCACACATGGCGAGGTTTGTCATCTGTAAAGTCCATGCAAACTAAAAAACAAACAATGGCAATCACATGGTTCAAAGTATCTCCTTTTTCTCTATGTATTTTCTATAATAATGCCCCTGGCACTGTGCCTATATATGCAGGATTGCTCTGGACCTTGAAAACATATGCTAGAATCCTTAGTTTTTCAGGTGCCACAGAACTCATTGTTTTTGCTAGCATGATTATCCTGTTGGAAGCCTCTTCTTTTTGTTGCACATTCCGAAGATTATTACTGCAACCCGGGAAGTTTTAACATATTTGTTGTATTGAGGCTATCAGGATATCTCTAATTCTGCCCAGGAACCTATTGCACTCCAGAAGGAGGATAGGGATTAGGATGGCACTGTGAGGAATCTCCTTTTAAGATAAGCATGAGGTGAGAAGTGGGGACAACAAAATGGCCACTTGTGTTGGAAGAGACCTCCCTTCCATGGATAAGTAAAACAGTAGCACAGGTTTGCAATAATGCCATTCATTCTTAAGCGTTTGAAAGAGAGTGTTTGTCCCTACTGCTGAGCAATAAAATATTGGGCTCTCAAGTGTTTGAAAGAGAGTGCTCTTCTCTAACTGCTTTAAAAGTGTTTTCATAGAACGGGTGAGTGGGATATGGGGTTGATAGATGAATGGTGAACATGGAGTGAGAAATAAGAAACTGTTCTAAGCAGTCCCAGCTGCCTGCTTTGCCCTTCCTGGGCTTAGATGGTGATGAATCACCTGATTGGTATTGTGCACTGTCTGATAAATCCCCACCCTGCCTATAATGTCAGCCCAGAGGCTATGCAGCAGGAATACGAGACAGGAAGGAGAGGGAAGAGTGGGCAGGCTACCTCGGCCCTAGCCAATGGGGAGCTTTCTGCAGCTGCATTTCAAGGCTTCAAAGCGCTTCAAGGTTGGCAGTGGGTTTGCAGGCAGTCAAGTAACTGGGGGAGAGGCCAGTCATCTCCCCAAATGCCTTTCCAGGTTCTACTTTGTGGCCTCTGTAAAGGCAAGCCCTTCCATTTCAGCTTTGGCGCCTTTGGAAGAATAAGAAGATGTAATAATACGGCTAGAGACCAAGCAAAAGTCCTGTTGAAGGTCTTTCTTACTTCACACATAGGCATCAAAAAATAGCACCACCTGTGATAGGCTGTAATTCTGCTGAAGGCTTTCGCTATTTCTACATTTTCACGCTGGAGATAAGTTGCAGCAGTAGGATTTTGACTTGTCAGGCAAACATTAGGTCAGGAAAGGTGAATCTTGACAATGGAGGTTACCTTCTGCACTTGATGCATTATGTAGAACAAACGTGTATGTATGTACATATGTAACTGAACACACAACCTCCAAGCATGGTGATCTTTGATTTTCAATGCCTCTAGTCTAGCCAATATAGTTTTGACTGCAACCTGCCCCCAATAATATGTCAATAATATGCCAGGCAGCTGTCATTCAAGTAGTGTCTGACTTGAATCTCATTTTTTAAATGAGCCATAAAGATGGCTGTCTGGGTGGAGGGGGCGGGTCTATCAAATGCTTTCAGTCCCTTTTTAGACACGTCAGTCAATAGGTAGCATGTTCAAGGGGTGACAGTGGGGCAGGAGGTGGACCTTGCAAAAATTTGTGACTTTTTGGAATTATATTGCAATTAAAGCTTGATTGGAAGAGAATCTGGCTTATTTTCTTCCATTTACATTATTCTATTTTTATTTATTACACTTTTTCTGTGATGTGAGAACCAGGAGCAACATTTAGCATTTTGATTTGTTAAGCAAAATATTAAGTTTAATCCAGGGGTAGTCAACCTTGGCTCTTTTATGACTCGTGGACTTCAACTCCCAGAATTCCTGAGCCAGCACGAGTCCACGAGTCATAAAAGAGCCAAGGTTGACTACCCCTGGTTTAATCTGTGTCCCCCTTGTATACTCCTTTTATTTTTTTTAATATGTAAAAAGGGGCAGGGAATACCTTTACAAAGGTATTCATCACTCCAAAGCTTTACCTATTTTTTTTCATGTCATGCTATCAAGTTGCAATTTGCATGTACATAAATCAGTTTGCCTAATATTAGAAGTGGAAAAATTAAGCAGATGAGCAGAGCAAATGCCTAAATAGGTGAGACTTCAAACCATGGAATAGATTTTCAAATATAGAAAGAAGGTAACTTCTTCAGACTAGAGGCAGTCCTCATTTAGCATCTGTCTCTGACAGCGACGATTCAAAGTCACGGTGGTGATGACAAAATGACTTTGTGATCAATCATCCCATTTCTGTCCTTCGCTGGTCTGTAAAGCAAAGGAAAGCCGAAGTAAGATCATAAGCACAGTCATTTTTACACTTAATGACCACTTCGCTTAACAACCACGTTGCTGATCCTAATTGTTCCTACCAGTATTGTGCAACTGACGGGGGGGGGAGGAGCATCCTTTCATCCTGGTATCATTTTTTGTTTTTAATGGAAGAGCGTGCTGTGCCCATTTCCTTTGTCTACTTGATTTCTGATGTTGGTATTCAATTCAAAAAAACATTTGAGCATTCACAAAGCCCAAGGAGTCTTCTGCAGTTTGTGAGATAATATGCCCCAAAGGGAGGCACTATGATGAAATCTTCCCTCCATGAGTCTAATCCTCCCAGGTCCTTACATCTCCAGCCCACCCTGTGCTTCTTTGATACTCAGAGCCACCATTCTTCCCTAGCTCAACACACTCCAGTCTCTTGAAAAACATCGAAAGAAGGGAATGTCAGGCTATTAAGAGAAATAACAGTTGGCAGGAGATAGGAGGAAACTTATCTTCTGCCAACAGTTATCTCTCCTAATAGCTTGACATCCCCTTACTTTCAACAGTCTGAACCCGTGGCTGTTCCTACTGCACTTTATCCAAAGAGCTAAGCCTCATGGTTATTCAACACAGCCACCTTCTCTATTTTTTGCAACCAAGCAGGAAGCCCCCCCCCAATATGATTTTCAGAGGTAAGGCCCCCCCACCCTTGAAGTAAATGGGGTGACCGCCCACCTTTCCAAATGCCCATCTACAGTTACTTGGTGTTCAGCTCTGCAGGCTCACACATTTCAGCATCTGCTTGCCCCATCCTTAATAGTCAGGGTTCTTTCATCTTACTTCTCAAAACCACCTTGGTTCCATCTGCATTCTCCATACTCGGCCACTCCTTCATAAGAAGGGGAGGGGAAAAAGCAACAGGCACGGAGGGGGGGGGGCAGAGAGCAGCGAATTATCCACACACATCAATCACGCCTCTGCCTTTTGAACTCTGCATCCATTTGCAAGCTCAAAGCAAAGGGGGATTGACCGAGTGTGTGTGATCTCAGTCTGCCAAAGATGATAAGGTAAGTTGCCAAAACAGCCCTATTCCAAGCTGAAGCTTTAAAATCCCACTGTGCTGCCCTTTTGCAATAACTATCCACCACTAACACACCTGCTTGATATATGTATGAGAAGAGGGAGCAGCAGAAGCTACCTAAAGTCCAATGTGCTTGTCTCATGTATCTTGGAAGTCTCCCTCTGCAGAGGTGCAGTAAAAGCTCCTGTCCCATTTGTTTTAGAAAAACCTAAGAGTGATGCAGAACCCAATTGCAGGTAGTCCTCGACTTATAACAGTTTATTTAGTGACCGCTCAAAGTTACAAGGGCATTGAAAAAAGCGACTTATGACTGTTTTTCAGTTACAATCTTTGCAGCATCCCCATGATCTTGTGATCAAAATTCAGATACTTGGCAACTGGTTTCATATTTATGATTGCTGCTGTGTCCCAGGTTCATGTGATCATCTTTTGCAATCTTCTAACAAGCAAAGTTAGTGGGGAAGCCAGATTCACTTAACAACCAGGTTACTAACTTATGTTACTGCAGTGATTCACTTAACAACTGTGGCAACAAAGGTCGTAGAATAGAGCAAAACTCCCTTAACAAATGTCTCACTTAGCAGAAATTGTGGTTGTAAGTTGAGGACTGTCTGTACCTTTTTGTTTTCCTCTTGTCTGGTTCCCTAATGAATTCAATTCTTGCACCAGATTTGATACATTCTGTTCTCCAAGCTCTCTATATCCCATCCAATTTCGGTATTGAATTAACCATGTCCAAAACAAGAGTAATTTCTTCCCAGAAATGTTGATAGCAAATCAATTTTTTTCAGAAGCAAAATCTGCTTTTTTCAAATCGTTCTATCACTTTATATAGTACACAAATTTCGGGCAGCATTCTGGAGAAAACAAGTATTTGAATCCACCCTTGTTCCAGAGTTCCCGATTTCCAAATTCTTTTCAGTTTCTTAAGAACTGCTATGCAGAGGTGTCAAACTGCCGGCCCGCGGGCCGGACGCGTCATCCGGAAGCCGCGCCAACCACATTGCCGGCAATGGCAAAACCGGCCCGATACGTTGCGCGACGTCACGTGATGTCGCATGTTTAACATGTCTGTGCTATAGCAAATCACAGCATCTGGTTCACTGGGTTGATCTCAGGAAAGCTGAACAAGTTTAATACTGGGATGGGAGACCACCAAGATA